ATATATATATATATATATATATGTATATATATATATATATATATAAGCATGGTTGTCAAGCTTGATCAAAATATAGCAATATTTTTTCAGTGTAGTAAACCCGGTGGCTGTGAACAACACTCGTGCCAGTTAATTTAGATATCAACTCATGGCAAAAATAAGCACAGTTTATTTGTTTGTTAGTTTATTACTAGTCTTTTGTCAGTTCAAACATTGACTATCAAAAGTTCAATAAATATTTAGAATTCAGTTAAAAGTACTCTTTTTTTTGGTTAACTGGTTTTAAAAAAGACCAGACTGAGGTGATTAAAGGGCCACTCCAGCCTTAATTTACTCTTGTATATTTCAGAATAATGTATAGTTGTCAGGATTTTGGAGAAAAATAAAATGGCAGAGGACCATAGAAGTTTTCTTGTTGAGTTCTTACTGACTCACCTGCTGGCCTGTAACCAACAGGATGGAGCCATCCTTGGCATGCACCACCTGCCGGAAAACATGGTCGAGGATGAGGAGCTCACTCCAGCAGTTCTGCAGTAACTTCATCTGGTCATCCACCTGGGTAAAGATAAAAAAAAAAAAATCATCAGGTCATTTGTTTGTCTTCCCTCCTCTATACAGCTGTAACAACACTTCCTGCTTGTGTGACTGAACATCACATCCACAGTAACAAACCTGTCATCACTGCCTAATGTATGTCTGTCACTGTCCTCTATTCACTGTCTTTGTAGAAGTTTGTGTATATGGGTTTCCAACAGAAAACATGATCATTTGTGTAAACATGAAGCAGAAAGGCATACATACACACTTTAACAAAAAGTAAGGTGTGAAAAATGTTCTTGTTTGAAGAAGGAAGCATCTCTGTTAGCTCAGAGACTGAGTATACAACTGTGTTTTTAGAGAACGGCAGGTATTGAAGAACAATTGAAATAGGCAAAGTCACTACTTTTTATATTTGTGGTTTGCAAATTGCTTCAAAAACTATGTACCAACTCATCATCTTTAATGCTGAGAAGAAAACAAATCTTGTCATTAAAAATTAAAGCCTACATCAGTAAAAACATTTTCAGTACGACAAAGTAAACCTAAAACAGAGCTGAGCTTCTGTGTCAACCTGTGGTTGTATCACAGGCAGCTGTTTGTAGGGTGAGCTTGCACATAGGTCAATCCCTATTGATCAGATATGTGTTTTTTGAAACCTTACACAAAGCTCAAAAGTCCCCAGCATTCACTCTGGCACTTTCTCATGTGAACTTTTCCAGTTAAACCCTTTGCTATGTGCCTGATTTGACAATGTTGCCAGTTTTATCTGTTTGCCTGATTCCAGAAGATATTGAATGATTCTAGTGTTGATAATGATTAAGTAAGCAGGGCCTTTTTTCTTCTTCTCAGATGCTAGCCTTTGGTTCCCAGAGATCTGCAAGGTGAACTTGGGAAGCAAACGCAGGTGAAACAGAGGCTTTGCAAACCAAAACAACACCCTCCATTGTAAATTCAGGTATCTTCCCATGCCTTGCAGTGTTAATCATTACTCCACTTAGCCAGACAGAGACCAAAAAAAGTCACATTTTGAAGCGAGGAATGAGGAAAATGCATCAGAGGTCCACTTTTCCCCCTTCTTTATCAACAAACATTCTGTTCTTTGGTGCATTATTGGAAATAATGTGGGCATGCTGGGATAGCTGTGGTGATAAGTGTGATTGCCAACATGCTTTGCGTCTGTGAGAACAGTCTGTGATGCTCACTGCCAATGTCAACTCCTCAGAGGGTGAAGAATGTGAATCAATGCTATAAACTTTGTGACAAAGGCAGGTGCAGTGAGAAGATACTCTAAAGGAATGTATTTTGCTGCTGTCTAGAAACTTTACAAGGATCCATTTGTTGATGTCAAATGACCTTAGGTACTCGTGTGATGTCAACAGTTGTAGTTTGTCCAACTAATTTCAACCACTCTGTAACCTCTTATGACCCAACTCTGGATGGGGCGGGGTTTGAAGTCAAGTCTTCTTGTTGATTGAGATTGTTTTGACTGCTGATTTAGGGTTGGTTTTAAACAAAGTGTTTTTATCTTTAAGGCAGACAAAACAGTAGACAGCATTCACAGCTGCAGAATTTGAACACTTTAGCTCTTCAACCATAAACATATTTGACCATTTTATTTGTAATATTCATTAAGGCTTAAGTAAGGTAAGTTGTTTTTTTTTAGGGAGGGGTGGGGATAAAATTTATGAGAACAGCCTTTGGAAAGCTCTAATATCACCCGCTGTTGAAAAGAGAAGACAATGTGCCAACAACCTTTGGAGTCAGCTTAGTTCTAGATGAATGCCAAAGCCAACAGACCTTATAAAATACAAAAAAACAAGAATCTTCATTTTCCAGATATGAACCTCAAATTTGGCGTAGTAGTAGTGGAGAGTGATCTCCACCACATGTTCTTAACATCAACAAGTTGTGCAAAATCTTCATTTAAAATTTTGCAATCAGCTATTTGGAGTTGACTCGGTATGTTAGCAACATACCTCATAAACCAATACAAAAAATTTATTTCAAGGAATAACCATTTGATAATTTTCTGATATGATAATATATCATTTAATACATCAACACACCAATATATCAAGGTAATAATGTAAGCATCATTACTGTTTTTTTAACAGAGACATGACCTTTGTTTCAGGGGCTGTAGCTGGTTTCTTAGCTTCATGCCCATTTTTCAATGGGCATTGAAATCCAATTTAGAGGAAACAGTGCAGGAAAACATTGTTTTAATGTTTAGCATCTCTTGTTCTTCTTTTATCAGTTTGAAGCCAGCATGGAGGGTTAGTTGATAGAGCTGTTGCCTTTCAGTGAGAAGGTTGCTGGATCAAATCCCGGTCATGGACCTTTCTGAGTGGAAACATCAAAGTTCACACTCAATAATCCAGGAAAAAAAATTCACCAAAGTTAAGTTAGGTGCTCTGGACAGTTTCTTGGATTTGTTTTACCTGGATTATTGAGCATGAACTTTGATGTTTTGAATCATTTTGGCAATGACTGCCTCAGACAAGCCAATGGGGGAGAAGGTGGACTCCAGAAACCATCTTATCACCATCAAACTCGTTGGTCCACTATGTGAGTGTGCCGCTTATGGGACTGCGTTTGTTCTGGCTCCTCGGACTGATGAAGTCTTTTGGATGAAAGATGACACATTTCAACATAAAGAAACTGTCCAGAGGACCTGACTTAACTTTGTTGGATTTTTGGGTGGAGTTTCTGTGCATGTATGGGTTTACTCCAGGTGCTACAGTTTCCTCCCACACACCAAAAACATGCATATTAGGCTGAATGGCAATTCTAAATTGTCCCTAGATGAGAGTAAGAGAGTGAATGGTTGTTTGTCTCAATGTGTCCCTGTGATGGACTTGTGACCTATCCAGGGTGTGCCCTGCTTCTCACACAATGACTGCTGAATATGGACACCAGTGACCCAGGTGACCTAAAAAGGAAGATGTGGGTAAAAATGAATGGATGGATGGCTAGATGAAATGAAAAGAAAGTACAACAATGCTGATGTGACCTTTTCTAACATTTATGATTGTATTATGGCATCTTCTTGTCACTTGTCTCCCTATACATCTTTTTTGTGGTTCTTCTCCATCTGCATCTCAAGCACAAGACAAAAGCAAAATTCAAATGTGATCATTAAAGTCATCAGAAAGCACAGAATGCTGTGAACATAGTTTTCTGTAGCATGAGCTGAGTTCACTCCTCGTCTCTCCATCTAAAGAAGCTGGAAGCATGCATGATGTGTGTGGACGGATGGGTAAATGTAAAGCCGAAGCTCTTCAAAAGACTGCTGCATGTCATTGGTGCTGGCAAGTGCCGGGGTCCTCATCAAAGACCTGTCTTGGCTCTGCTTGCCTGGAAGCTCCTCTTTGACATGAAGCTTGGGTCATCAAAAGGGAAGCAGCTCAGAATGGGTGACAGTGGGTGACAGCAGCCTAGATGAGGGCCGGGGACACCCGCTTTGGAAGAGAAGGAGACTGGTGACAGGCAGTCATGCATAAGGGCAGAGCAGGGGTTGGGGTTTAGTTTGTTGAACTTTGAAGTACCAGTGTTGCAAGCTGTTTCCCTGACAAGTTCTTCCTTTGCTCTATCTTATGAGGAACACTCATACAGTTGTATCTTACAAGATATGCTCTGTTCTCTGAGCTATTTTGATCTACAGTATGTTACCTGGTATTGACTGCCATGTTGTTTTTAGGAAAACAAATATGTTTATTATCATTTATGTGAGTAGGTACACATAGTTTTTTTTAAACTTTACTACCACTGACTACTTTGTCACATCGTAAAATGTAGCATTTGCTGGAACTCCATGAGACCAGTAAATCTGGCAATGCTTAGAAGTGATCACATGATCATGGGATATGTAGATAACATTTTTTTTTTGCAAATGTGTCAGTGCTAAAACCTCTGTAAACTTTTCAGAAAGCATGGAGATTTAAATTACAGTTGTCCCTCACTACTTCACGGTTCGTTCATCACTGACTCACTCTATTGCGGTTTTTCAAAAAAAGATTGGACATGACACACAACTGGCCGATTGATGGATGAGCCACACGATTGGCATGGAATTTTATTTTAAATAAATCATTTAAAATTATTTATCTCCTACTGCAGATTTGTGCAGGCCAGAGTAGCAGAAAAAAGCTTTCTCCTGCACCTTTGTGCAGTCCATACTGCAGGATAAACTTCCTGCTGCAGCTGATCAGCTGTTCATCGTGGAGAGTAGAGAAGTGGGTGTGGCCAAGAGCACTTGTAGATAGCAAAGAGCAGAGAAGGCAGGGAGCTGAAATCATGACATTTTGTGCTCTTTATGAGCGTGTAGCATTTAAAAATATTTTTTGGAAAATCGCTAGTGTGGGAAGGTTTTAAAACACCTTTACATATGTATATATATATATATACACATATATACATATATACATATACATACATACATATACATATACATATACATATATATATATATGTATATATATATATATATAGATACACAGATAATAAAATAAACTACTACTTCCTACTTGTACTACCATTCCTACTTTGCAGTTTTTCACTTATCACGGGTCTTCAGGGTATGGATCCTCTGCAATAAACGAGGGACTACTGTTTTATATTTCTTTGCTGAGGAAACTTGATTAGCAGTGTAGGATAAACAAAAATTGCCACTTAGAGCACTTTCAACAAAATTCAACAAAAAGTTATGTTGCATAACATTTTTCAGTTTTCAAATACTGATTTTTTATCATGTAAGCAGAAAAAAAAAAATATATATATATATATATGTTTGTGTTTGCGGTTACAAAAGTGTCTATATTTTGTTTAAGTATTCAGAATTATTTACAGCAATGCAAATGAAAAGTTTCTGTTTCCTGTTTAAAGAGTGTGTTTGTTAAATGTATTGCAAAGAATATTTTTTTATTTATTTACAGACTCGTGTAGATGAAACTGTTCTCTAAAGTTTGCTTCAAACTGGCCTTAAAATCCACATTTAGGGCTGCTTTTCAATGTGT